CCCAAAAAGACCAGATTACCATCAGACAGATATCGTGCTCGATCACCGGTACGGTACATTCGTGCTGCTGGATTCTCACTGAAAGGATCGAGTAGAAAACGTTCGGCAGTAAGTTCAGGACTATTAAGATAGCCACGTGCCACACCGGCACCGCCAATGTACAATTCTCCCTCGGCTCCAATTGGCACTAGCTCTCCATGTGCATCCAGTAGGTAAATACGCCTGTTGGGAAGCGGACGACCGATTGGAACAATCGATCTATCAGATATTATGTTAACACCGACCAACATTGTTGTAATAATTGCAGTTTCGGTAGGCCCATACATATTGACTAACACTGTTTGATCTTTGCCACACTTTTCGTTCCACTCCCTCATTAATGATGGATGTAATGCTTCACCACCAAGGGGAATATATCGCAGTCGATCGGATCTTATACTAAAAAATTTCTCTCGCATAAGCATTTTGAATGCCGATGGGGTTTGATTTAGTACAGTAATACCATTTGTACAGATCCAATCATAAAATTCGTTCGAAGAACGGATGATACTGTGTGGTACAATCGACAATTGACCTCCATTCAATAGCGCACCCCATATCTCCCATACGGAATAGTCGAAAGAAATGGAATGCAACATACACCACTTATCTTGGTTATTGAAATCCAATTTATGACGTATAGACATGAACAGTTGTGCTACATGATGATGTTCAACCATTACTCCTTTCGGTGTTCCGGTTGAGCCAGAAGTGTAAATAACATAAGCGAGATGTCCTGGGGTGAGTCCTAGTTTGGTGGCATCCGGATTATTGATCGGCAAATCTTCAGGCAACGGTTTGTCCAAGTCAATCACAGGTACTTGATTATCTCCGAGTGCTTTCCGGCCAGTGGCATCTGCCAACAGAAGTATTGGGTTTACATTTTGTAGAATATTATTCAGTCGTTGGCTTGGATAGGTCGGGTCAAGTGGTACATAAGCGCAACCTGCTTTTAAAATACCCAACATTGCTTCGACCATTTTTATGGCACGTTCAACACAAAGTACGATTAGATCGTCTGGTTTAACATCCCTTGCTATCAAGTAATATGCAAGTTGATTGGCCTTAGTATTGAGTTCTGCATAGCTTAGAGACACTCCGTTACACTCCACAGCAATTGCCTTTCCGTCACGTTCTACCTGATCCTCAAATAATTGATGAAGAAAGTGGACAGGTTGATTGGTAACCGTGGTTTTATTCCATGTGTCCAGAAGCAAAGCGCGCTCTTCTGGAGGTATTACTGTCAATGTTCGAACTGGTTGTTTTGGTGTGTGAGTTAATGCATTGTCCAGTGATTCCAAAGTTTGTTGCATATAAG